GCTGTGTAGGTAGGGGGTTGTAGGAAAAGAAGAGAGAAGAGGGGAAGGGAGAAGGAAGTGAGGAAAGGGAGGGTTGGAGGGGCTGGGGAGGTGGATCAGTGGGTAAAGTGATTGGCTTGTAAGCATGAAGGCTACTTTCCAGTATCCATGTAGAAGTCAGGCATTATGGTGTGCGCCAATAACCACAGAGCTGAATTGGGAAAAGAGACAGAGCCTGGGGTCTTGTTCGCTAGTTTGTCTAACCAGCATGGACTTCAGTGTCAGAAAATAAGGTGGACAGAAATTGAGAAGACATCTAAAGTCTACTTCTGGACTCTACACATATGTGTACATGTGTGCACATGCGTGCACAGGTACAGCCCCCCACATGTGCTCCTACCCACAAAAGGAGGAGGAAGAGAAGAAGAGATGGAGAGGGGAGGGGGACGGAAGATAGAAGATGAGAGGGAGAAGAGGGGGAAGAGGTGTCTTATCTATACGCCTCCACGCTCCACTGAACCCCCTTTGTAATTTCCCTTAGTATGTACTTAAAATCCAAGTGTGGAGCAAAGCTCCTCCCGGTCTGGCCCCGCCCACTCCCCAAGCCCCTCCCCCTCACTGCCTGGTATTTGTTTTTGCCCACCCATCCCTTCTTCCCTATCTTGATGACTGTTCATGAAGAATGGGTTCAGCGTGTGTGATAAGTGAGACAGACATGGCAGTACACATCTGTAATTCCAGGACTTGCTCTGAGGCAGGGGAATTTCAACTTTGAGGCCAGCTGAGGGTACCAAGTAAGTTCAAAGCTATCCTAGGCTGTATAGAAAGATCTTTTCTGGAAGAAAAGGGGGGAAAGGGAAAAGAAAGGAAGGAAGGGGAGGGAGGGGTGATGTAGTGCACCACGCCTGTCCGCACTCTATGCACTGCCGTACAGTTTGTGAGCCAGGCAAGGGGCTGGAGATTGAAACACACAAAGACACACAGACAGAGACACGGGTCATCCTTGAAACAGAAATGCCCCCTTTATTGTGTCCAGGGGCAGTGTATATAGGAACAGCCACGCCCCAGCCAAACACACCAGAAACCACTCTCCTGCCATCAAGAACTCCTGAGGGTCTCATGCTCAGAGCAACTGCAAGCATTACAAGTTGTTTACCAGACATTCAGGATCTGGGGGATTCACAGCTCCCTACAAGGAGAGAAGAAAGAGCATAACGGAGAGGGGGAGGGAAGGGGACAGGAGAGGAGAGGAGTGAGCAAAGTATCAGGCTGCCAATCTTCCAAGGCCACTGAAGACACCATTCCAACGACGAACTAAAAGAATCTCCTGGCTCCTGCTGAGCCCCAGACAGGCACAGCCTTCTGCTCTATTCCCAGATCTCAGCTCTCCATGGACTCTGTATGCCCAGTGCCCTGTATGCCCACTTCCCTGAAAAGATACTGGAAGGCTCCGCAGACACCTCAGCCCAGGTAGAACCAGTGGTTGGGGATTTCTGGATAGAAGTCACCTCAGGTTCAAACGGATCCTGCCTACTTGCCAAGATACTAATCTTTACCACAAAGCAGCTTGGGCACCACAGTCTGACACTGGGCAGTTCTGTTCCCATCTGGGACAATGTGTTGGGGAGGCAGCCACCGGGTGAGCATGTAGAACACTCTAGCCATGTGTTGGGGGATCGCCACAGCTGGCTGACAGCCTGTGTGTGCATGGAGGTTCTACTGGGGTCACTAAGACCCAAGCAGCTTCCAGTTGGTTGTTGGAGCTGGAGCTGGCAGTTTGCTTTAAATGGGCTGAGCGCAGGACTCACCGCTTGTTTCTTTATTTTTGAATCAGTCCTGAAGGTGCTTTCCAAGAAGCAGGGACAAACCAGTCTTAGAGCGGGACTCTGAGCCTGAGCGGTAGGGAAGGCGGCAACAGTACAAGGTGTGGCCTGGGGTCTTTAGGGAGCTGTGAAGACCCCAGAGGGCAAGCCTGTCTCTCTCAAGCTGCATGTGGTTTCCCAAACCTAGTGCAGGAATTTGTAACAAACCGGATGACATCACAATACGTATTTATTCTCTATCTTTCTGGAGCCTGGTAATCCAGTCTGTCACAGGACCACACCCCTTCCAAAAGTGCTGGGGGAGCATCTTCCTGCCTCCACCCAGTGCTCCTTGACAATCCTTGACCCTCTGTCCCCTCCTTCCCATCTCAGTCTTCGTTATCATGCATTGGGTAGAAGATCCATCCTCATCCAGAAGGGTGAGCTCAGGCATCATAATCAGACAACTAATCAACCGTTTGGAGGGGACATTGCAATCAGTGACATCATTATGTGCTCTGAGGCTTGCAGGGAGGACCCCATGTGTGTTTCATAAGCATGCTGAGCTGGTGAGAAGAGACTCAGGGAAGTAAGATGGAACCCAAAGGACAGGAAGCAGCGTGAACCGGTACATGTGGAGGCCGTGGGGGAAAGACCATTGGAAGACAGGTCCATCACAGCGAGGTGCGACTGAGCAGTTGACATCACGATGGAGGAAGCAGGTGACAGAGGACAGCTATTTCCAACAGCAGACAGTAAACAGAGAGGGAACACCAGTGCTTGGCACACACGGCTGCAATCATAGAGCCTCCCCTCTGGGTGAGACAGGCAATACCTGCAGACAAGATGCTTAGCCAAAGCCTGAAGGCAAAAAAGAGATCCAGTCCAGCAGACTTCTGGGGAAAGGCCCGGGCCAGGCCAGCGGCTGGAGATGGAGGGAACCAAGAGGAGGAGAAACAGGCAGAGGAGGAAGGTAAGGGACGTCGCCAATGCCACGGAGGCTGTGGAGGTTGCGTAAGAATGGCTCGTACATTGGAATGTTTGCTCATCAGGGAGCGGCACTATTTGAGAAGGATTAGGAGGTGTGAGCTTGTTGGAAAAAATGTGTCATTGCGGTGAGTGTGCTTTGAGGTTTTAGAAGCCCTTGCCAGACTCTCTCTCTCTCTCTCTCTCTCTCTCTCTCTCTCTCTCTCTCTCTGCCTATGGATCAGCATGATGCTCTTCACTGCTTCTCCAGCACCATGCCTGCCTGCTGCCAGGTTCCCCAGCGTGATGACAATGGACTAAGCTCCCGAAACTGTAAAAAGGCTCCCAATCAAATGCTCCCAATCAAATGTTGCCTTGGTCATGATGTCTCTCCCTAGCAACAGGACAGGGATTAAGACAGAAGCCATCCTGAGCCCTTGGTCTTCCTTGGGCGGAGGTGGCAGCCATCTCTTACGTGGAGATGTGACACTATTCCAGCGTTAGCAGCGTCCTCTGGCTGCATGGCTGAGGGGAGTGGACGTGATGGCAGCAGGGATGTGGATCCCAGAACTGGAGAAACAATTCAGGCAAAGCAGAAGTTGGCTCTGGTCAGGGTGGAAGCAGGGTCAAGTGTGGATCTCTTTTGCAGATACAGTCAATAATATTTGCCAACAGATCAAGGTTGGGCGTTGAAAAGTGATGTCTGCCACCAGTGGGAAAACGGAGCTGCCCATCCCAGGGATGCACAGACTAGGGGGCTGGACATGGACTCCTTCACACACATTCTACCTGACATACCAAGCAGATGGTCCAGTGCACTCCTGAGAGTCTGAAGAAAAGGGGGCACCCAGAGGGAGGCCGTGCTGGTCAGCCTCAGAGTGGGGATGGGCATGTGCACAGGAAAGAAACCAGAAGATTGGGCTCTTAAATCAGAGGTGCTTAGGAGGAGGCTTGGGAGCATGCAGAGGAGACAGGAGGAGGGAGGGGCATGCAGGCATGGAGAGAGAGGGAGATGGAAGTTAGGAGAGCCAGAGAAAGGCGATGAGAGGGAGGGGACAAGAGAGGAGGATGAGGCATTTCAGAGTAATGTCTGGGTTGAATGTCCTGGCAGAACTCCGGGGCTGAGATCTAACTTAGCTCCACGGGACCTAGGATTTCTGGATGAGAATTTTAAGGAACGGCCTTGTCCAAAGCATCCATGTAGGAGCATAGTGGTTTCTCTAAGCCATGTTGGTACCTTTGAGCACTCTGGTACTGCTGCCAGTGAGGGATGCTTGTGGGTGTCCCTCCAAGAGTGCTCCCTACGGGTGGTCCAGGCCAGTTTGCCCCATGAGTCCTCCTCATCTGAGCTGCTTCATAAGTCCTTTCTGTAAGTGCTCCCCATGAGTCCTCCCCGTCTGTACTCTCCATGAATGGTCCTCTGTGAGTGTTCCCTACGAATGTTCCTTGTAAACGCTCCATGTAAGTGCTTTCCTCGAGAGCTCCTTTAGTGGAGGATGCTAAGGGGATCCAGGGCTGCTCTAGTGAGAAGCATCTGCTCCTCCGTCAGCATCAGCACCAACACAGCTGTGAGAACGGTGGGCAAGGCGATGAGTTGGCACCACAGAGAGGCAACACCAGACATCCTGTTAGAACTTTGAGTTTGGACCGTCCTGGAACACAGGCCCTTAAGAGCTCATCGAGTTTGGTCTGCCTCTGAGTCCTGTCCCTTCCTCCCTTCGGAGGGCAACACACTCGCACTGGCCCCACGGTCAGCATTGCAACCTGCTTTGACGCCATTCCTCCTTCCTCACCTCCTGCCCCCGTGCATTTGTGGCTCTTCCCCATCTGTTCAGCTCGAGCTAGAGCTTTGGCGACACCCTCACTTCACTGGAGATGCCTCCTCCCCCATTCTCCCCATCATACCACCTTCATCCACGATGTTTAAAGGACAGCAAGGCTCCCTCAGGAAAATCCTTTTCCTACGTTTCGGCAGGTCATAAGAAACAGCATGGCTTCCAAGAGGTGGGGTTATGGGTTGTATGAAGGTGAAGCTACATGTTGAGCAAGACATTCCCTGTGGAGACCATGCGCACGCGCGCGCGCACACACACAATTGGTAAGAGAACAAAGTAACAATTATACCAAATCCCACTTGTTGGACCGGTGAGTTTACTGGGCTCACTAGCAGGGGTGTGTGTGGAGGGTGACTTTCGGGAGCATGTGTGACTTGAAAGCAGCTGTCCCAACAAAAGCCCACCCCAGCAGGGGTGATTTGACTCATGATTTGTGACTCACAAATGCTTAAACCTTGGGCCTCTCTGAGAGATTTGCAGGCAGCTCTGAGATTGGAGAATCTTCTTCAGGCAGCCTTGATGATCAGAATCCCCTCCCCCGGCAGCGGTTCGTTGCTTCTGTGATCTTAGCAAGGTTTTCCTGGATCTCATGAGTGACAGTTTCAAGTCAGAAACTGTTATACAAACCACACTTTTCTTTCCCTCTGTATTAGTTTTCTTTTTTTATGTCGTGGTTGAAATACCCAGCAGTATGTAATTTAAAGGAGGGAAGATTTGTTTGGCTCACGGTTCAAGGGTACGGTCCGTGATGGTGAGGAAATCACAGGCCTTCTTTATTCAGTCTGAGTCCTCAGCCCATGGGACAGTGCTGCTCACACTCGGGGTGGGTCTTCCCCCTCATTTAATCTTCTCTGGAAGCACACTCACAGATACATTCAAAGATGGGCCTCAATATTGCCCAAGGGCCCAGCGGTGCCCAACCCTTTGCCATGGTGACATGCTGTCTTCATCTACCAATGAACTGGGCCGCATTTGTATCAGTCCTGAGACACATGTGTCTCGGGAACGGCAAGTTAAGCATACCCAAGTGTTTCTGAATCCAGTCAGACAGACATTTGTCCTATCTGCTTTTCTCCTTTCCATGCTAGGTTGTGGATGGTAGTGAAGGAGCATGGGCTAACTGAATGGAGATCATATGCTCAGGCTGTCAGAGCCAGAACAGGGAAGGCGTGCCCGTCTCTGCTGCTCACTCTCCACTTTGTGTGAAGAAACAATAAAATCCCATCTTATCTGAACTGTATTGTTGGGAAGAGTGGAGACAGAAGGACAAGATCTTGCTCTATAGTCCTAGCTAGCCTGAAACTTGAACGTACACCAGGCTGGCTTTTCACACATGGTGATCTTCTTGCCTCCCGCTCCTGAGCGCTAGGATTGAAGGTGTGAACTGTCACGCCCTGCTGAACCATATTGCTTTGAGGTTTTGATAGCACTGTTGTGAGTTGTGACTGATTCAGTCTCGCGGCTTTGACCAACTCACGAGACTGTAGGGACTTGAAGACAGACTATGTGGCTTGCTAGCCATTGGTCAGGCAGATGGCACACATTGCTCAGTGCATAACAAAGGCTTGCTGGAAGCAGTAGATGGATTCCCAGGTGACTCAGGCATCCAAACACTTGTTTTGCAGAGACCCATTTCTCACGTGGGCCCTTGCAGGCTCTGTCATGGGCCAAGCATAGGTGTCCTCAAAGCTGGAGAGGGGAGAGAAAGGGAGTCCCCACCCACCAGAGCATGCTCTGGGAGTGAGCCCCTCAGAAAAGCCAGATGACACGATCTTCCCCACTGATGCTTGAGCCTCCCTTTATTGCAAGGATGCAGAGACTTCCATCTCCAAAGAGATGATGGCTTCACGGATGCAGAGGCAGGAAAGCTGTCTGGAAGAGAAATCTGAAGCTCGGAAAATGAAGAATCCATAGCTTCTTTGAATGCTGACTGTTCAGGGCTCTGACTCTCTACCTTGTGGGGATGAGGAGAAGGATTGTGTGTGTGTGTGTGTGTGTGTGTGTGTGTGTGTGTGTGTGTGTGGTGTGTCTGCAGGTACCCACTGAGGCCAAGAGGGGGCATCAGATACCCTGGAACTAGAGTTACAGGCTATTGTGAGTGTCCAGCTATGGCTCCTGGGAACCAAACCATGGTCCTCTGCAAGAGCAGCAGCAGGTACTTTAACTGCTGAGTCATCTCTCCAGGCCTCTGAATTATTTTTGGCTGTAGCTATCCACACCAGTTGTGCCCCTCCTCTGGTTAGATAAAAACTGACTGCGTGGCCCTCAGGTGTGAACCACACTCATTTAGCTCCCTCTCTATCCATTAGCTGAACTCAGGAACGAAACCCCAGGCCTCCGCGATCCCCGATTCCGGGACATCTGATCCATTGGTCCCGTCTGTATTTCGATGTGTGTGTGCTAACGTAATTAGGAAAATTCTCACCTGCAGAATTGAAGATGCTGGTGCATTATCACGGGTCACATTCTGGGTCGTCTTTCTCATGGGGTTGATGGGTCTGCGTGGGTCAGGTCCTTCCCTCTCACTTTGTCCTGCTGGCGACTGAAGGGTCTTCTTGGAGTCAGATGGCCAAGGTCAAGGGTGGCTTCTGCCACAAGGCAGAGTGAAATGAATGGCTCCTTTCATGAAGGGACTGACCCCCTGACCTTGAGCTTGCCAGCCCAGGACTCCAGTGCAGTGATGGCCCTCCTCAATTTCATATCACTCTCAAGTGCTTCCACTTTTTCTCATGAGGGAGCTTTGGAGTTCCCCAACCAAAACTCATTTTTAACTCAGTTTAATTTAAACAAGAAGTACTAGCTAAGCGGGCAGCACTCAGCGGGCATGAAAGACAACGACCACTAGGAGAAATTCAGCCCTCGCACACCGCTACCCAGACACCCGACAACACCTCCTTCCAGCCCCCTGAGCCAGATAGACCGGGGACGAAGGAGTCTGTGGGGCAGACACAGAAAGCTTTTAAACGGCACCACGCCCACCAGACATCTGTGTCTCATAGAGATTGTTTCATGTGGTCAGCTGGGGTGTGTTCCGCCTTTCCCAGGCCGGATGGACACAGTTGGGCTCAGGTCCAGCCAGGCTCTTCCCTTCCCATCTGAAGAACTGTGATGCCTTGTGTAGCCTGAAGTATTTGCCACAGGGACAATTTGTGATTTATTCGGATAGTGAATTGGTCTTTGTGGCCAAAGCCTTCTTCTGGGTCGATACAAAAGATTTATCACCTCCGTGCTGGCCTAGGGAGAGTGTAGATCGGAGGGCTCTCTGGCCACATCTTATTTTGGGGGACCCAGCAGGGCCTGTGCCAGAGTGGACTATGACAGTGGGGTGCAGTTATATGTGAACATCTTCACAACAGCTTGGATAACGTTAGTCATATCCATTAATTAAAGGAGAATAAATCTCCTTCTTTTTATTGACAAGGCATTTTATAAACGACTATCACCCGCTGTACCTCATTCATCTTTACCTCTCAAGAGTCATCCTTATTTTATTGACAATCAAATAGACTCGGAGAACGTAAGAGACTCACCCAAGGTAGCACAATCCGTGTCCCTGTGTGCACCTAGTCTGTCTCCCCGTGTCTTCTGCCCTTCTCTGTCCTCATTCCAGTTCCCCACCATCCTGTTAGCCTGGTCAACTTGTCACAACCTAGAGTCATCCGAGAAGACAGACCTTTGAGAAACTGCCTGGATCAGATTGGCCTGCGGCCATGTCTAATTGATCTGGGAGGCCCAGCCCTTTGTGGGCAGCCCGCTTTCCAGGCAGGTAGTCCTGGGTTGGACAGAAACAGCTGGCTAAGCCGGGGCCTGGACCGGAACCAGCACGCGGTGTTTCTCCGCGGCTTTTGCTTCAGTTCCTGCTTGAGTCCTTGCCCTGACTTTCATCAGCGATGAAGTATACGCTGAAATAAACTCTTTCCTCCTCGAGTTGCTCTTGCTTGGGGTTTTAGCGCGGCAATGGAAGGAAATTAGAACAGCCGTCCGCAACCACTTGCGTTTAACTCTGTAGATCGCCGTTCTCCACGTTGCAGAAGAGCAGAATGACGCAATGATGTGGCGAAACCTCCCTTCTCCTGGCGGCGCCCTTTGCCTTGCTCTTGCGGCTGCACTGGTTTCAGCTCTGGGTGGCTAGAGCTTTGCTGCCATCCCTCAGTGCAGGGCTAGTCACCTCTGTGACTGGTGAGGCTTGTCCCTGATACCTCTGGATGGAGGGACAAACACATGAACAGCCATTTGTATCTCCTTAAATTTCCTCTTCCAAAACCATGGCGCCAAGCAGCCACGGATGAAACACTTCTTCCCAGTTCTCCAAGGGTGCCTGTGTTTTCCTAGGTCTTTTCAGCAGTTGTAGTGTGGGATGTTCTTCTAACACAGTATTCTCCTGGAGCCCTGGGACGTACCTTTCCTACTCTGGACACATGGCTGCTCCATGCTGGGACGGAGCACAGTGGAAAGAGTGGTCAGAAAAAAAATGACCAAAAACTAAGAGAGAGGACAAAGGTTTAATATCACAGGTAAGGAAGAAGGCCGTGGGAGTTATTTCCGAAGCCCCCCAGTAACAAGGGAGTGAGGGAGGAACAGGTTTTATCTGGAGAGTCCATACATTCTCCATGGAAAGTTCTCTGGGCAGGCTCACTCTGGAGCATGCTCGTTTTAAGATGGGCATCACTGAGCACGCTCAGTTTAAAGTCATGGCTCAAGGAAACAAGACGGTAGACACGAATACTTCTGGGCTCACTTGGTATCTTTTCCCCAAATAGTTTTTAGCCACATCCAAAGGAAAGGACACTCTGAAGGTCCCTTCACATAGGATTATTCCTGAAGATGCCGGCCTCCTTGAGTTTCTAACAATGTCCCCAACCATTGCTACCCTGCCTGAAAGAAGGACCATCCCACCTGAGAGATCCCCTCCTCCCTTCTACATTTGTACATACATGGTGTTGCATGTGTGGGCCCGTGTGCCTGTTACACAGCTGTGGAGGCCAGAGGACAATGGTGAGTGTCCTGATCTTACCAGGTCTCCACTGTGTTCCATTAAGACATGGTCTCTATGAATCCGGAGCGAAGATGGCAGCCAGAAAGGGCCGAGCAACCCCGACTCTGCCTCCCACGGTCCTGGGGTTGCAGGTGTGTGCTATGACACCCAGCTTATATGTGGGTGCTTGGATCCAGACTCGGATTCTTACGCTTGGCTCTTACCTACTAAGTCACATCTCCAGTCCCTCTCTATTCCTTTTCTAGACTCTGCCAGGGAAGCTAGGTTTTTTTGTTTTTGTTTTGTTTGTTTTTTATAGCCCAGTGTCACTGTCTTTATTTTTGAATGAAGGACATCACTTTGAGCCATGAAGCAGCCAGAACAAGAGAAACCCAAGCTTTCATGGCCCTGGGGTGGGGATACCACAGGATGTCAGCTTCACGAAGGCAGGGGGTTTCATCTTTCCTTCCACTCAGGAACCAATGGGGCTTCTCATAAATGGTCTACCCAGTGAATGCCAATCAAGCAAAGGCCATGAGCTGTGGATTGAGGATGGTGGTCTGGATGCAGAGATGGTTCAGCAAACACAGCTGTGACCAATGGTGCCGAGGGGATTTTCGCCTTCCTGAGTCTCTTACACCCTAAGCTGGTTCCTCCAGCCTTTCTCACATCCCTCACTTAATGGCTCCAGGGTGGATTTTTCAGATCTGTTCCCAAGAAGCCTGATAGGTATGAATGAGACAGGCCAATAACCCATGCATGCGAGCCTTACCTGCTTGAGACCGTGAATGCCTGGAGGCCACGAGGGGCTCACTGTCTCCTCGCATGGAGATGAAGATGACCTAGAGTCACTGCAAAGGCTGAGCACCCACGAAATCGCCGTTCTCAGTGTGGTACACACAGTTCCTCACTTGTAGGACGTCCCATGCTGAAGGCCATTTGGGCAACGCAGTGAGATCACCAAAACCCAGAAGAAATGCAGGACTGTGGGCCGTCCGCGCCATGGAAACCCTACACCCAGCCAAACGTTCTTGCTGGCAAACCAGACCCAAAAGCTGTCACCAAATTCTGCTCCCTGGCAGGACCAACCCAACACCAGACAGAAGAAAGGGAAAGCTGTGTGGTGGCCAACAATACTTCTTTCCGGGCAGGAGCAGTTGGAGCGGAGGGTCAGCAGAGCTCTGGAAAGCTGCGCCTAGCAGGGCACGGCCTCCACCCTTGCTCGGCTCGACCACATAGAACCTCAGCCTTGTACTCACAGGACGCAGGTCCCTAGAGCTTATATAAAAAGCCAGGTGTGCTGGCGTCCCAGCACTGGGGAGGCAGTAGAGCTATGAAAGGAAGCTCGCTGTGATTCACCGGCCGACCAGCCTATCTGATGAGCTCCACGTGGTGAGAGATCCCGTCTCCATAAACAAGGTGTGGGGCTAGAGAGACAGAAGGGTTGGGAGAATCATTCAGGTCAGTGGTTAATAGCAGTTGCTTTGTTTGTTTTATTTATTTTTTTAAGCGTATGCAAATTTGGTTACCAGCACCCATAGAGTGGTTCACAGCCACCTGTAATTCCAGTTTCAGAGGATCTGATGCCTTCTGTACACAAGCTGGCAAAACACTCACAATGTAAAATAAAATAAATCTGAAACAGCAACCAATCAAGCAGACAAAGCAGTGTGAACAATGCCTTAGGAACGATACCCAGCACTGAGTTCTGGCCTGCACAGACACACGCGTGCACATGCTTCCATTGGCTGACTTAGTCTATACATCTGTGATATGAGCGTGTGCACACCATAGCACACATGGGCAGTCAGAGGACAGCCTCCGGTAGTGGTCCTCACCTTGTATGACACAGTGTCTCTTTCTTACCCTCTGCTGTGAATGCCAGGCTACCTGTTTCCACCTCTCATCTCGCTGTAGGAGCCCTGGGGCCACAGTCCTGGGCCGCCGTCTGTCAACTCATACATCCTGGGGATCCAGACAGATTCTCGTGCTGTGTATCCAGTGCTTTACCTACGGAGCTTTCTCCTGGGCCCAATTCATTCCTTTTTTTAATATTGTAAAAAATGCAAGATGCAAATATGTCAATTTATTTAGACATGTTTCTATTGCTGGTCATTTGGATATACTTAGATTTGGTCTTAATCAAAAGGGGCTCTTAGAGACTTCTTGTGCCTGTCTTTTGGTGTGGAGTTGTCTGCATGGTGCATACCAAGGAGGGACAGCCCTGGGTCGGAGCATGCACGCCCCCAGCGCAGTGCATACTGAGACACAGTTTTATGGATTTGCTCTAGGGTTCTCGGCCATTGAGCAGTTACGAGGGTCTTGGGATATGCGTTCTCACCAGCACTGTGCTTCTTTTGCCATTCTGAGTGTATGCTTGACTCTGTCTCTCTGATGTTTCTGGAGGGTAAAGGCTATTCTAATTCCATGCCTGTTGTCATGATAAAATACTCTGATAAAAAGCAGCTTAGAGGAAAGGGGGTTTATTTCAATTTACAGTTCCAGGTCACAGTCTGTCGTTGTGGGGAAGTCCAGACAGGACCTTCCGCTAATCCCACCCAGTCCACATCAAGGGCAGAGGGGAACAAATGCATACAGGCTCACTCAATCGCTTGCTTGTGCTCACCTTCCCTAGGGAATGGAACCGCTCGCCGTGGGCTGAGTCTTCCCACATCAATGAACTTAATCACGGGGATGGTCCACAGATATGCCCAGAGGCCAATTTGGTGCAGAAAATCCCAGACTTTCTAGGCTGTGTCAAGTAAACAATGAGAGCTAACCACCAGAAGTGTCTTTCAAATGTCTGCTCAGAAAACTTGCCCCTCAGCTTCATGAAAACATGTGTGTGCGTATGCGCACAAACAAGCATACGCATGTGCCTGTAGGTTAGGTGTGTGTGTGTGTGTGCACGCACACATGTTGCTTGGAACCAAGCCCAGGGCTTTGAGCCTGTTGGGTGAGCTCTCTCACTGAACTATGCCTCCGGCTCATTTGGCCATTTTTCTACATATTGTCTGTCCTTGGTGCCTTATAGAAGCTGATTACTTTTCTGCATATGAGACATTCGTTGGTTCTATGTTGTTCTTATCTTGTTCATGGCTTTTCCTTTCACCCATCACAGTCTCTTTTGATAAAAAGGCAGGACCAAGTGTTATATTAATACATTTTATCAATATTTTCTTTTTGGATTCTGTTTTTCGCTTCTGTTGCATCAATTGACGTTTACATATTAAAAATTTTTTTGCCCAACTACCTTCGTTTAATTTATTTATTAATTCTGATACTTTTGTGAAATGTATTTTTTGTGTTTTTCTTACATAGCCAATGATGTAGTAGTATATAAATAACCACAATTTTATCTTTCTTTTCATATCTTAATTTTTTTCCTGCTTTATTGGAAAGGCTAAAATCGTTAGTATAATAACTAACAACAGAGGTGGAGACAGATAGCATCCTACCTAAATCTCAAATGCTATGGGAGCATATCAGTATTGAACAGTCAGTCTGTCATTTGCTGGAGGTCTGCAGTTACTAAATGCACCTGATCTGTTTCGTTCTATCCCTGGCTTCCTCTCTGGTTTTACTGTTCTTAGTGTTTGAGTCTCAGCAGGAGCTTGTTCCGGATCTCCAGAGCTGTCTCCGTCACCACTGTTCACCACGCTGGTTGATTTCAGAGCGC